CTGGAAGATCAACTCCACTAGATCCCCATAATTAACTTCAATTATTTTTAAATGAGCTAGAAAGTAGCTTCTGATTAAGAATCCAATGGCGATCACGTAAGGTGAGGGCTTTCCAGAGAGTACAACAGAGCGGAGCAGACCCCTGGGGAAAGAATGGTGAAGACAGCTTTGCTCTTCCAGGTTCACGCAGGTGACAAGGGCCCAGAAATAGAGACTCTCTGGATGGCTCACGGAAATTACAAACTCAACAGCCAAAAGGATGAATACGTAGAAATAACCACTGGAACTGCATCTGAGGCCACGGGGATTGCGTGGCTGTTTCCCATCAACTTGTACTTGGTGACTCGTGTTGGAAGTGAGTCCATGCTGCAGTGTGGCTGCATGCATGCAGCCCTCCATTTCTTCTTCTCTTTTTAAAAACTGAGCTGTAACTGATGGCGTCCACTTATTTGAGTTCTATCGTAATGACTTCATTTATAAATACATGGATAACACACACAGCTGATCAGAGTTGGAGCTGGCGGAGGACACGGGTCCTCTGTGCTCCCTGCTTAGAAGGCTTGTCCTGTCAGCTCACTTTGCATTAACAGGCCTCCCAAGCTCCAGGTCTTAAAAATTAAAAAAAAAAGCTTTGCATCAAGAAGTTTAACAATGAAGAAATCCAGGAGAAGAACAACACCTCCTGTAATGCAGCCCCCACCCTGCTCTCCACCCGGTGAGGCGAGGGCCGGGCCTCTGCCTTTGAGCAGGGCTGTTCCTCTTGCTTTCTAAGCCAAAGGGCAGTGTCTCCACTTGGGTAAAGGGGAGCTGAGTTAGCCCAGCCGCCAGCTCTACTACTTTTGTGTCTCGTTAAGGTTAGAGAGACCGCTGGAGCAGGTCAGGAGAGAACAGCATGGCCAGCGGTGGGCAGGTCCACACCCACCTCCACACCCAGGGCTGCAAGAGTCTCTGCAGGATGGGGAGAAGCCGGGCTCACTCCCTCCCTGAGCTCTGCTGACTGCTCCAGGCTCCATCAATGAAACAATAATAATGCCACTTCAAAAAGTCTTGTCACAGCCATGTTCACAGCAGTGCAGTGCGGTGAAGCGGGAGACCTGCTTCTCTACCAGGTGAGGACACCCGAGTGGTTAGGTGGTTCACGCAGTTACACAGCTAGTAAGTGGCAAAGCAAGACCAGGGCTCCCTTGGCTGCACTGGGACCAAATCCCTGAAACTGCAGGGCTTTGCACTTCAGAGATGCTGAGTAAGTTCCCCATGCACAAGGTACTAGGGCCCTGTGGTGTGGTGATTTTTTTAAAAATCACACATTCTTTAATGCAAACCTCCCCCATCTCAAGAAAAGGAAATGAATTCCCATCCTCTAGAGTGTGGGCTGGACTCGGTGACTCACTTCTAGTGAACAGAACACAGAAGAGGAGGTGTGTGACTTCAAAAACTAAGTTCTGAAAGGTCCTCCCTTCCACCATCATTCACCTGGAAACGCTGTGAGCAGCCGTGCTGCAGCCCTGCTGGAAGGACTCCCAAGCAGCCCCAGAGAGGTTCATGTAGTAGAACTGAGGCCTCCAGTCAGTAGCCACAAGGGAACCATCTTGAAAGTGGATCTGCTAGTCTCGGTCAAGCTTCGGACGACTGCAGTCCTGGTCAACGACTTGACCACAACTTTTGAGACACCCTGAGCCAGAACCACTCTGTTTAAGCTGTTTCTAAATTCCAGCCTAAAGGCATGATAATACATATTTTTGCTTTCAGGAGTCACCCTCCAGAAATCTCTCCCCGCCCAAGACCATGCAGCTGAAAGGGAGCCCCAAGATCAGGTGCTAATTTATGGTTAGAACCTCCTTCCAAAGCGAGTCTAGCACACTGCAGAAAGGTCGGCTGCCTACTCACCTTTCCGAGTTCTGCAGGTGGAGCAGCAGGTACACACTGTAGGGATGGGGGGCACCATCAGTGATCTCCCCCACTTGACAGGAACCAGTCCCAGCAAACAGGGAGGTCCCAGGGAGGTATGGGAATCCCAGGGTGCTCATTACAGGAGACTCGGGAATGTGAGTCTCATCCCAGACTGAGCTTCCTCTCACATGCTAGAAAATGGCAGTGCCTGGCCCACCGAGGTAGTTCTTGTGTCCTACAGCTCTCGTGAAGGCAGGGGTTGGGTTTAAATTTCCACTGGGAAGTAACTCCAACTACATTTACCCAGCTGCCCTCCACCCTGCGTCTTCCAGTTCAGACTGAGCTCCAGCAAATATTCTCAGACTAATCTATGAGCTCAGAAAGTGTTTAGTGTCTGTCTGGTCAGTTGGTCAAAGGCCTAACTGGCTGCTGCCTAGTACAGTCCATTGTTGTTGATGCACCACTGGGTCTAGGTAGACAGCAGGTATTCACGAAAATGCTTCCAAGTCCACGAAAATGAGGGTCATGCCTTCTTTTCTTTTGTTTGCTCCCAGGTGTTTGATAAATGGTGTCTGACAAAATACCTCCCAGTTCATTCTGTGGGTTGGGAAGTATGTTCTGGCAAACTTCATGTTTTTATTTTGCACAATGTGACATATATTTTTTTATTTATACATTGTTAGATAATACTGCATTCTCTTGTGCTTTTTCCTTGCGGCATCATTTGTGAGATCTACCCAAGTGTGCACTGCTGCTTCCTGCTGCACTCAGTGCCAGAGGCTGCAGCCACTACTTGTTACCTGCTCTCTCCCAGGCTGCCTTCAATGACTGCCATCTGTCCAGGGTTTGCAAGTTATATATGTCTACTCTTCCCACAACTTTAAGACACAAAGAAATTATTGTGCCCTGTTTTCAAAGGAGAAACCTCATTTGTGTGCCATCCAGGCATCATTCCAAGAAAGGTTCTGAGGTTGAATGGAGGCTCAGTAGGAACAAGTGGTGCTATCTGCCGCCAGCAAATCTCCATGTGAATCTGTGCATATGCTATCTCGACTTAGGCCTGGGGTCACCCCGCCAGAATGGAAGCCCAGATTTGAGATTCTTCCCCCTAAAAGCCCACCCTGAGGCCTACCCTTGGGGCTGGCTAGGCACACCAGTCTATGGACCTGGGTGTCCTTTGCAGATATCTTCTCAGCCACCTTGACCCTCAACTCAGTGATTATGACAGCTCAGAGCCTCTGACCCGGGTGCTTTGCCCCAGGTTCTGCGGCAGCTTTCACCTGTCTTTCTTTCTGGGATGACTCTATTTTAGGCTCCAGAATAGCTGGGGAGTGTCACACAAAGTCCCTACTTTCCCTGCTGGGTCAGCACCTTCCTTTGCTGCCCACTGAACCCACAGGCGCCAAGACCCAAGAGCAGGCAGTGAGGAAAGCCAGGCCATGTTGCAATATCAAGGGCTCTCTGGTTCTCCATGAACTCTGCCTGCCAGGCCTGTGACCAGAGAGCTCCCTGCGTCTCTCTGGGGAGTGACAGAGAGAGTCAGTGCTAGTGGCAGGTGGTAGGGCCTAAGCCAGAACAAAGTCCACACCCATTTCTACCTGGCACTGATATGGGAAGATCTCTCGGAGTCTACTTGCTCTGCGTGGTCCCCTCTATTAGAAATGACAACATAGAATCTTAGAGGGAGAGGGTGAGCAGGGCCACTTCCTAGTCAACATATGAATCCTTTTTGGTACATGACCATTCAACTTTGGCTTGGACCCTTCCAATGGCAGGGAATTCACCACCTCATTATTTTCCTTGGACACTTTCACAGTATAAAGTGCATCCAGGGTGCTTCCTGGTGGTACAACAGGTTGGAGAGCAGCACTGCAAAGCTGGCTGCAGAGGTTTCCATGCAAGTTCGACCCCCAGCCCCCGAGGTGACCCACATGGCGCGGCAGACCCCTCCAGACCTGCCTGCTGCTCCCCTCAGCAGTGTATACTCCATCAATCTGCCTGGTCTGCTCCCCACTCTGACTCTGGTGAATCCTCTCAACCCCCCCCACACCTCTGGCCTGTACCCCAGATTTGTAAGCATAAATAAACAAATCTTTAAAAATAATAATAAAGTGCAACCATAGAAAGTTAAAAAACAAGAATAGCTATAGTAGCTACTTCCCAACTTCAGGCCCAACTGCTCACCAGGGGTGAGTGGCAGAGGTGGTGATCCAGAACTGTCCTGCACCCCCTTTCTTTGGCAGCAGGAGTGCTCAGTTCCTGAGAACCAAGCCCCATTACCTCCCCGAGAAACAGTCTGGGACATCATGAGCCCAGGCCTAGCTCCCTAACCCCCTAATCCATGCTCCCACCTCCCACAAGGAAAAAACCCACTGATAGAGCGGACGTCAGTGGGCCCCACACAGGGCTACCCCTCAGTGGCAGCACAGCTCTGGGTCTCATTCCAACTTAGGAGCTCTCTGGGGATGGGCCCAGGGCTCTGCATGTTTGAGGTCCCTAATTCACTCCTGATGCAGGCGCCTCAGAGGTGGTTTCTCACCTCCACAGAAATGAGACCTCAGAGCTGCTGTGGCCCCGGTGTGTGGTGGCTAAGGGTATGTATGGTGAAGGGGATTCAGTGGTAAGACAGAAATGTAAGAAAAGAAAGTAAGAAGGAAGGCCATAAATATTCATGCAGAGCATAGGGACCACAGGGGCTGTAAGTTCTGTGTGGGTAGGAGGAGACACGGTGCTCAAGACAGGTAAGTCCCTCTGAAAATACAGGATCAGAAAGGAAAAGAACAGGTCCAGCTGTGCCTGTTCCCTCTAGGCTTGGCCCAGGACTACCACCACCCCCTCCTACCCAAAGTCCCCAGAGAGCCAGAAGGAAAAGGAGGAACTCTTAGTGCAGGTGACCTAAACTTGCCACCAATCAGAGTCCCCAGGCCAGCTTCCTGTCCTGACTGGGTGGTGTTCTGCCCCTTGGCTGGCCTGGCATGATCTGATTGACGTGTATGGGGCAGGTCCCCAGCAAGGGCCTGGTGACATACCACATAGCACACCAGGGCTCTCTCAAAGCCAGTGAGGCCCAAGGCCCAAGGTAGAAAATAGGGGATGAGAATGATACCTACCTGAGCTGCCAGCACTCTCAGAAGCACTCCTGGACATCTTGGGTTGGCCGTGTTTGCCACTGGCTCGCCCAGACCCTGGCGGTGGGGGTCCCGAAGGGGCAGGGGCACCGTCTCCCCTGATGGTGGTGAGGTCCTGCATGCTGAAGCTCCGGAGTCTCTCCGATAAGGCACCCTGTCCCTGAACACAACACAGGAGGGGTACATGTCAGAGGCCTGACCCACAGACCATGGAGTCAACTGGGAGTCAGGGGCAAACTTGATGAAGGCCAGCAAGGAGCGCTGACATTCAGCAAGAAATCCAGCCTGGGAGAAGGAGTCTGCAAAGAGCAATTCTGTGTAGTCGATAGGAGTGTGGAGAGGGCCCCTGGGATATCCCAGGGCTTCCTGCGGGGCTCAGCAATTGTCTTTGGGGTTCCTACTCCATCCTCTCCTTCAGATGCCTCCAGGATACAAGTGAAAGCCCCAGACAGACCTCCAAGTCAAGGAAATGTCTGCTGTGTGCCCTTCCTTACCTCCAGGGGTGGTTTGCTGCTTCTCTGAGTTTATATTAATAAAAATCCTTACATAATTACATTTTCTCAGTTTCCAGTGTGCAACAATCTGGTCAGAAAATCAAAACCTAATAATCTATGTGCTCAGTCCTTACTCTTTTCAGAGGAAATAAAGTACAGACAGTATTTTTTTAACGTGTGACAACAGCAACTTCTCTTCCCTGTTCACATTACTGTGGATGAGACACACTCACTTCCACTGTCACACTTGAGCTTTATAAAATACCCGAAAGGTAATGAGTCAGGAAGGAAAACATGATATTATTTTTAAAAGGCAAAACTGCTGACTGTAACCATTTCACAGCAGAGGAAGTCACAGAATTCACCTCAGGGGAAGCTGTTCTTTTATTGAGGGAAGCAGGACCAACCGGTGATATTATTGTTATGAAAGGGAAGGTCCTTGCTGTCTGGACAAGAGAATCGTTGTACAAGAAAGGACTGCAGGGCAGATGCCAGGATGCGAGCATTTGCTTTAGGACTCAGGGGCAGGGAAGGGAGACTGTATTTGGCAGAAAAGGAAACCAGAGAGGAGTGGGCGCTGGTAAGAGGCTGGGGTCATTAAGAATTGGGTGAAGACGGGCCCTCCCTGGTGGCGCAGCGGGTTAAAGCACTGCACTAAGAAGCTTAAGCCACTTCCGCATGAGTTCGATCCCTGCCTGCCCCGGAGGAGATCCACATGGCGCAGCAGACCTCTCCTGACCTGCCCGCTGCTCCCCTCAGCAGTGCACTTCCTAGATCGGCCTGTTCTGCTCCCCACTCTGTCCCTGGTGAATCCTCTCACCCTCCACATCTCTGACCTGTACCCCAGTTCTATATGAATAAATTAAAAAAAAAATCTTAAAAAAAAAATAAAAAAAAGAATTGGGTGAAGACAGACAAGTCACCACTGGGAAAATCGATCAACTCTGGCCACTTCGCAAATACTAGGGAGTTGTGCAGACTTCTACAGGGACCCAGAGCAGCAGTGGTAGCGGAGGAAGTATTTTATTTGGATAACAAAGGAAAGAGTGACACACTCAAGAGGTCCGGACTGGAGGACTTGGGGACAATTAGGCACAATTAGATCAGAGAGAACCAACAAACAGCAGAGAGTCAATGTGAGCAGCTATCAAGGCAGCTCTGGGCTGGGTGGGGTCAATTCAACACACAAAGGCCACACAGATTACTAAGGGGCTTCCAGAATGGCAGCAAAGATTGGGGAAGTTTTTTACATTTTACATCATGAAAATACACCACCAAAAACACTGAAAGTCACTGAAGTGACTTTAGTGGAAGAGTCAAATGCAGAATGAGTTATTAGAGGAAAGAGGGAACAAAGGAGCTTGCAGATAGGCTTAGAAACATCAGAATAAAACAAAGGTGAATTAAAATATGAAGATAAGTTCTCAATCTAGCAAACATATAAAAACCATGTCTGTTGGAAACTAACAATAAAAAGAAAGCTAATTAAGTCATCAAATTTTATTCAAATTGTATAGAAATGTACATGCAAGCAAAGCAGACAGTGCTGGTTTGCCTCAAACACTGCTCTGGCACATCAGTGGACATGGGGTTAAGGTCTCACCTTCTACATATTAACACTGAACAGTCTTGGCAGAGAACATGGAGTGATTCCCTCCAATCTATCAGCAGTGGTCCATGATTATTTTATTTATAAGCATTTTAGATGAGAAATAGGAATTAGAAGAAAATAGACTGAATTTCTGAGAAGAGGGAGAAAATATTCTGATAATTACAATGGAGGAATTCAAAGTTCGGTTTTATGGCTAAAACCACCACTGATTTTTTCGTTGTGTTTCCCTTTTATTCATTTATCTGTTCAACAATCAGTTATGAAGAGCTTTTTACAGCAAGGTACTGTGTTGGTGTTATTAGGAAAGACAAAAAATATATAGTCTGATTTCTTACAAAATGTAAAAAGACAAGTGTAAAAGTAACCTCAGGGAAGAGCTACAGAAACTACAGAAGATAAAGGCCACAGAGTCTACAGTCCACCTGGACTCAAATTCCAGTTCTATCACTGGGTGACCTCAACCTCTCCTCAACTCCCTGTTCCCATCTGCTGAATACCAGCCACATGACAGGATGGTGATGAGGATTCAACGAGATTATGCCCATTAAGACACTCATGACAAAGCCCAATATGTGTCCCAAAAATGTCCACTATGATGATGGTACTGCTCCTGGTGCCTGAGACAAATACATTCCTATTGAAATAAAAAATAGAAAGAACCTTCCTGGCCAAAAGACTAGGAGGAGCTTCACGGTCCCTTGGCCACATAAGTGGCAGAGACTAACTCCATTAGACTGTCTGCCAACTCTTGCAAAGGCTTAGCAATGCCTTTGCTAGCAATGAGAGAGTGTCAGCAGACACCACACATGTCCGTTTTAGCAAAGCACTCAATTCTACTCCCAGAAGGCAGCCAACCTAGCTCCAATATCACTAGCATCATGAAGACTGGAATTGACAGAAGTTAGGAAAGAGAAGTAGATAATAATAGCTCAGGATCAACTCAGTCCTGTCTCCGAGGAAATCACAGCAGTATGAAAACAAGGTTCTTGAAAACAAATTAGCTGGCAAGCGTCAAAACAAACTGAGATGGCAAAAAATCAATATGCTGCTCTCATTTGTAACCCTCTCAGTCCTTCTCAGTCTACTCAAAACCTCGCTTCCACTCACTTTAAATGAACCCTGCTCCACCCTGCCACCCAGGCTTTGCTCCAGCGGACCTTCACTTTGTTATTTTGGGAACAATCTAGAGTTGATATTTTGCAAGTTGGGTTTCCTATTTTAGGAAAAGAAATTTGGATTCCCTACATTTGGAAAAGCTTAGTACCATACTCTCTATATTCAACGAACCAAATTACTATGTTAAAAGCTTTGAGCCGTCCTATAGTTCACAGCTTATTTAATGCAGTGCATCACAAACTTTTCTGGCCTCAGTCTGGAATATATCACTAGTTGACCATTCAAAAGTCCTTCCCAACCTCACTCTTGAATGGTAAGAAAAACAGGTTCCCTGTTCTCCCCTGGAGTTATAGATGGCCATTGGGTGCAGTTCTGGCCAGTGAAAAGTAAAGGGAAATATACTAAGGAGTTTCTGGAAGCAGTATTTTCGTGCCTCAGAATAGGCTATCTCCTCTAATGTCCTGCTTCTTGCTTCTGAGTGTAAAGGAACTGCTGTTCTGTGGATACAAGCTCCATTGAGTCATTCACCCAAGGCCTAGACGTCACTAAGTCACTGAAGTAATGAAGTATCCAGTTACTCCTAGACTTCTGAATGATTTTGATCAGTTTCAAAACATTTATCTTTGTAGTTTCTGAAATCAGGGTGAGTCTTATAATTGCTATTGCTCGGACATAATTTCCATTGTCTACGCGTGAATGCACTTGTTTGTTATCTCTCCGGGGCAGGAATGGGTAACTGAAACCCTGTGTGCTCAATTAACAAACCATTTAAGACCCACTTAAGGAAGGAATGTGAGTCCAGATTGTCTCAGGCATCGTCCATCGACACCTTCTGGTAAGATCAAGAAAGTGGTAGCATCAAACTGGCAGAATGGGCAACGGTGGCATGGATGAACATCCCAGACTCAGTGGAAGGCACGGAGAGTGACAGGCATGGTCATAAGTGATATTGGTGAGTTGAGCTGAAAAATGATTCTGAAAAGTGGGACTCTAAAAGTGAAGAAGTGAGGTTAGGGAGACCTGAACCAATTTATGTTCTTGCACATGTGATGCACAAAAAAATACATGCCTCTGAAGTCTAAAGAGACTTTTTAGTAAGTAGAAGAAAAAATCCTAAATGAAAAGGCATTACACCCTAATATAACTGACAATATTTTCTCTCTTAGCAGCTGTAAAATAATGACATGGCTTAGAAACCAGAGCGTTTCACATCCGACGTGATATGGCCGCACTTCTCAGTGAAGCTTCTTATCATCTCAGGCCTGTCACAGGCCCTCCGTGCAGTCTGTACTTGCTTGTACAGATTTCCCCACCACCCAAAAATAGAAAGTTCCTACTTGGTATGATTTGCTAAGTTAACTTGGGGAGTCCTGGAATGCACAAAAACTAATGGTAACAGTGTCGACGACCCCCAATTAACTTACCAAATCACACCAAAGAGGAACAGTCTACTTTTGGCTAGTGAAGGAACCTTGATTTCCATACAATTCTATTTCATTTTTGGCCCTGTATGTTGGAGCGCCTTCCCTATGGACTGTTTTATTCACTACTGCAGCCTTAGTACTTGACAGGTCTACCTGACAGATATCAGGGTCAAGAAGTTGAATGGTTAGATGTATTACCATTTATCGGCCTAAGGGGGTGATGGGAGTCCAGCTGGACTGAGTTAATAGCCAGATGAATACATTCAATTGGGAAAAACTCCTGCTGATAGGCTGTAGAGTTTCTTTTAAAACAACTATACCATTAGGAGGCAGGGATAGAAGTAAGATTTATTCTTCCCTCTATGTTTTATATTTTTAGGGCTTTGTACTGTAAACAAGCATTAATTTTAAAAAATGACAAATTCATTTTTCAGCAACACTCAAGCACTCTCTTAAGACCACCTTGTGGGCCCCATTTTGTAAATACAGGACTTCCATGATGCTGACAAATGCC